CAAAGGTGGTCCTGTGTGTGTTTATTACCCGCTCTTGAGTACCCTCTCTTTGGACCGTACAGGTGTGTCCCCCGCAGGAAGCAAGGCGGAGAGGACCCATGCAGATTTCCCAAAAACTTTTTTTTTCAAATGAGAATTCCCTACAAATGTGGAAGGTCTTTCTCACCTGTCCTCCTCATGGGTCCAGGGGAGCTGCAAACGAGGGGCTGGTCAGGACTATTTACACAGATGGGGAGACTTGGTTGTAAGGTGTGTTGCAGGTCAAAGGGGAGGAGAATGGGGGGGTTCATTCTTCATTTGTTCATTCTTTGTCTCAGCAAATATTTTGTTACTGCTCATTCAGCACCAACTTCTCCGCAGGATGCAGAGGAAATGGATCAGTGAAATAGCCCCTGGCCTCAAGGAACACAGACTTAGAAACAAAAACAGATAACCAATCATTACCTATTAATGCAACAGATACTTACGGAGTACCAAGAACTGGAGAAACAGCAGGAAAGAAGTCAGACAAGGTCTCACCCTCGTGGAGTTTATAGGCTAGTGGTGGGGGACACAGATATTAAACTCATAATTGTACAGGTCATTAATTAATTACCATTGTGGTTACTACAAAGGAGAAGTACAGAGTGCCAGCTGAGGCAATTAAAGGGGCAGGGTTGGAGACTCAGCAGGAAACCGTGAGAGCAGGAAGAAAAGGACAGCGAGGAAGGACTCCAGCGGCAGCACCTCTGCCCAGTGGGTGTTAGCGGGGCTCAGGTCCACAGGAAGGCAGGCCCATCTGGTGAGACAGGAGGAGAGGAGACAGCAATCATCTCTCCAGGAAGTGAGAAAAGTCTCATGGAAATGGGCAAGGACTCTCCCAGCCAGACTTTCTCCCTTGCTTTCTTGCTGACCGAGAATAATTCTTGGGCGTGCCATGCTGAAAGCACTGTATCATTCATTCTCTTATTTACCCGTGGAGGTAGGTACCATCACCCTGCACGCAGGTGCAGAGGCCAGCGCTCAGTGGGGTGAGTGCCTTGCCCTGGATCAGATCATGGTGCTCTGTGGCTGAGTGGGAACGGAGACCCGGATCTGCCTCCCTGCTTAGCCACAGCACTCTGCTGCCCAGTCTTGGCAGTGGGAAGGGAGACTACGATTCACATCCCATGGTCCAACCACCAACGAACAGATGAAGAAGAGAGGCTTGGAGGCATGAACCAACTACCTGGCCCCTGCCACACAGGCAGGGGGAACGAGAGGGGTCTCCAAGGAGGAGGGCTCTTCCTGGCCCCGTGGAAACTGACACTACCCTGCAGAGGTGGCCAGGTGGAAGGAACCCTTACCCTCTGGGGTGTTCTAGAAGTCAGCGGGCATCTTGGAACTATTTGGAGAGACAGACGCCCCCTGCTGGCTGAGAACTACTTAGGTAGTGAGGCAGGTGGAAGAGGCGTACCCATGTCCTGGTGAGGGGAGCAAAAATGAGGAAACCCCTAACAGTTCATACAACGTTTTTGTTTAAGGGATACTCAGACTCTTGTGTGTCCTGTGAGGACTCTAACAGGTGCCAACACAGACGGATTTTGCCAAACTCTGGGGATTTTATGTTGTATTTATTGATTTTGTTTTTAAAGATTTTATTTTTAAGTAATCTCTACACCCAGCGTGGGGCTCAAACTCACAACCCAAAAATCAAGAGTTGGAAGCTCCACTGACTGAGCCAGCCAGGCACCCCCAAACTCTGGGGATTTTTTTTTTTTAAGATTTTATTTATTTATTTGACAGAGATCACAAGTAGGCAGAGAGGCAGGCAGAGAGAGAGGAGGAAACAGGCCCCCCTGCCAAGCAGAGAGCCCATGCGGGTCTCGATCCCAGAACCCTGGGATCACGACCTGAGCCGAAGGCAGAGGCTTTAACCCACTGAGCCACCCAGGCGCCCCCTGGGGATTTTTAAGTGGGCCAGAGCCACATAGCATAGCCCGACTTCTGGCAGAAAGGGTCTCCTTGTGGCAACCAGAAGAGGGAGAGGCTGGGATCAGATAACCTGGCTATCAGTGCTCAGGAATCTGAAATAGGTGAGAACTAGAGATTCAGTGGCACTGTCCTAGGAAGGGAGAGGGAGAAAAAGAGGGAATGGAATTCACTTACAAGCACTTCACACACTATCTCTGCTGACACGTGACATGGAGGGCAGCCTGGGAGGTGTTTTAGCCATGTGCGTCAGACGAGCTGAGGAATACAGATACTGGCCAAAACCAGCTGTCACTGTCACAAATGCTGACCCCCTCGAATGGCAAAACCAGTCCTTGACTGGATTGAAGGTTAAGCCCAGACTTTGATGAGATGTGCCTTTGATCATTTCATAAACACTGCTGGCAAGGCTGGATAACTGTGGAATGAATTTAAAAAATGAGGCCCATACATCACCCTCTAGCCTCTTTTTGATTTCAAATGGGCTAAAAAATCATTTTGAAAATTATACCAAGATTATGGGAAAACAATTGTGGAGAAGCGACGATTTTCTAACTAAAAGAAATTAGTAAAGATTATGACCCATAATCAGCCAAATGACAAAAATAAAAGTAAGGGACTGGAAAAATACATGAGTTCAGTGGCCCAAGTAGGTGGGGGAATAAAAATACATCTGTGACGGAAATACCCAGTGTCCAATGGACAGATGGCCAGTCACTTTGAGACACATGACAAAAAGGTGAAACACTGAGGAACATGTTAGTCTTTATAGTCCTTAAAGACATGCAAAACTGTAATACAGCCAAGAAGACCCCAACTCTTACCAACAAATTTAGTAACAATCAGTCAAAATGATGAGGCCCACAGCTGCTCTGAAGGGAAACAGGAACTCACACATGTGCGCTTATGAGTCAGCCCAGTGGTCCTGAGGAAATCTGGCCTGACAAGAAGATGCATTCCTGTGCCCTTGGGTTTACTGATCTCACTCTTGGGGACAGATCTCAAGGAAATAGCTCAAGAGGAATAGTAATTAGAGAGTGACACTGTCTGCCCAGGTGCCTGCAGTTAGAAACTGGTTACCTAAAATTCTGTGTTTGGAATATTCTGTTGCCCTAAGAAGTTCCTGTCTGGAGTCAGAGAGATAGGGAGCTCATCCCAAGTCTGCCATTTAGCTGTGTGACTTTAGATAGGTCACTTAACCTCTCTGAGCCTCAGTTCCCATCTGGATAAAATGGAGATAGTAATTGATGGCTACCCCTGGGGGGGGGGTGCGTATTAAACGGGAGTCATGTCTCTAGTGTCTGCACAGCGCCCTGCACAGACTGTTTAACAAAGGGCAGCTGTTGTTACTGGAAGATGACTATTTGATAGATCCCAGAGAAAGAGTTATTGCTTGCAAAGGATGAAGTAGCATCAGGAAGAATCAAGCTTTGTGTCTTGAAGAAGAGCTGGTATCTTGATTCGGGGTTTATTTTTATAACAAAGTCAGAAAAGGGAAAATGAACCTCTGCCACTACTAGGGAGGAATCCACCAAAATGCAAAGGGGGTAAACCTCTTCAAAAGGGGTTAAATTCGCCTAAAGCAGAGAGGAAAATTCTGGCCAAGCTCGCACTCGCAGCCGACTGTCAACATTGGGGTGTCTCCAAGTATTTGGAAATGCACATTTTTTGAGGCCTGCTCTGCGACAGGCGTTTTACAACCGCAAGTCCGGAATTTTTATCTCCCGCTTCAGAGAGGAGGTAATCTTCCCAAGGTCATACGTTAAGTGGCCCGATATGGAAGGTCCCCAGACCCGTGCTCATAACCACTGCACCTTACTGCCTTCAGCTGTCCCGCCAGGCGCGGCTCGGGTGAGGGGTAGGCGCCCGAAGGGCTGCAGGGTCTCCGGTCTCGGAAGGAGACAGCTGGGCCAGGGATGGTCGCAGGCCCCCCCCAGGGGCGGTGGGGTCGAGGGTCCTGGCCTATTCGGTCCTCTCCCGGAGACCCGGGGCGCGACCCGCTGCGGCTCCCCCCTCCCGCCACCAGGGGGCGCCGAGGAGAACGCGGGAGGGAGGCCGCGGGGCGCGAACCCGCCGCCTCTCCCTCCTGGAGTCTGGACCAAGGCCGCCGCTCGCCCACGCGTCCGCCGCGAGGCTCCTAGACGCGGCCGAGGCGGGATCTGAGCCCCGGACGCCCGGCGAGAGGCTCGTCCCGCAGCGCCACCGCCCCCGTTCGCGTCTGCCCGGAAGCGCTGGCGCCGAGGGGGCGGGGCCGGGAAGCGCTTCCGGGGGCGGGGGGCGCGGGCTGGGGCGGCAGCCGGAGCGGCGGGGACGGGCCTGGCGCCGGCGGCGGCGGAGGGGGCGCCGCGGGCGGGCGATGTGAGCGCGGCGCTCTCGGCAGGTGAGGCGCGCCGGCCGGGGGCGGCGGGCGGCGGGCGAGGAGCCGGCAGAGCGGGTGGGGCGGGGGACAGCCCTTGACCGCTGTCCGGCTCCCTCTGGGCGCGGCGGGGCGGGCGCCTCCGCGCCTGGTCAGTCCGGCGGGCCGACGGGTGGGCGGGCGGCGCAGGCTGGAGCCGAGGCCGGGCGGGGTCGAGAGGCCCGGACACCTGCTCTGGTCAGGCGCTCGCCCCGGAGGGGCCAACAGTGCTCGGCCCCGACCTCCGGGCTCCGCCGGCGGGGCCGAGGGTCGCGCTCGGCCAGCTGCCCCGGGCTCCCCAGCCTCCGCCTCGGGCGTCTCGGGCTCCCATGCTTCCGGGCCCCTCGCCCCCAGGGGCGCACCCCTTTTGTACGGGAGGGCCGGATGCTTGAGTGCTCTGGAGAGCCTGGCGGGGCCGCGGGGTCGGCCCTACTGGTGGCTGCAACAGACCCCTGCCCCACGCCGCCGCCTTTCTCCAGGTAAACAGGCGGCAGCGCGTCCTGCTTGGCCCTGGACGTCTCCATGGTCACTCTCGCCCTCAGTCGGTCCTGCCATTACGAAGGGCCGGGCTGGGGTTAGCCTCGGGGTGTAAACACTGTCCTTCTAGGCTGGGCGGCTGTGCTTTAGGGCGGCAGTGGTCTGGGAGTTGTCTTGAGGCTTTCAGCAAGCCTCTTCCACGATGGGCCTCAGTTTCCCCATCTGATCAGTGAGGGTTTTAGATTCGCTCTCTAAAGACCCTGTGGGTCTGCCAGTCTGTATGTGTCTGAAATTGGAAGGGCTCTCCCTGGTTCAAGATCTTGGGCAGTTTCACTGAAGACTTTTTACAATTGTGGACTTTTTAGCCACTTAATACACTTGGTTTCAGACAGGCTTTAAAATGATTCCCAGAAGAGTTTCTAAACCTTACCTTAATCATATTTCATCCCTTGCTTTTGTCCCTAGTAGTAGTCAGTCACATCCCACGGAGTTTTTGCCTGCAGATTTTTTTGTTGTTTATATTTGCCCATTTTCTCTTTGTTCCTTAGTCCAGGCCCTCTTTGCTTCACATCTGGATTATTGCAACAGCTTCTTAGTTGGTCTGTGACTTAAGAAGTCCCCCGCCTCCCCCCTCCTTCCTTTATGCTAATGCCAAACTTAATATAGGAAGTCAAAAAAAGAGTTGAGTGCTTGCTTGATTATTAAATGTCAAGATGCTGTTCCATGTGGTGGGTGAAAGTATTGGAAGACACACCGCCTCCAAGCAGCTTTACACTGGCTGCTGAGGCTTTACCTGTGAAAAGGTAATTGACTGATGAGATAGGGCTGTGTGCTATAGAATTAAGAAGGAGAGATGGAGGTCATTGGAGGCTGAACCGTCTGGGGAGGCTTAGCGAGGAGGCAGGATTTGAGTTGGCTGTTAAAGGATGAGTGGGATTCAGATAGGAAAAGAGGAGTCAGGCCCAGTGATCCTGCGGAGTTGGTGAATAAACCAGCCTCCTTGTAGAGAAGTGTTCATATAGGAAAGGGAATAGGAGGAAGGACTGGCTGTGGCTTGTTCCTAAAAGAACTTGAACACTAGGCCAAAGTTGAAGCTATTCTAAAGGCAGTGGTGAGCGGCAGGAGACTAAGGGTGGTTTGTCATAATTTGCAGAAGGGGAAAGGAGAGGCTTGGGGCCAAGAGATCAGCTAAGAGGCCATAGCACTGAGTAGTGTCGTCTCGTCTGCCCCACTGTGTCCAGCCGTTGCCCACCCTATCTTTTCAAGACTCTCCTTGGTTTGGCCCCTCCCCGCCTACCCGAACCTGTTCCCTGCTTCTCCTTCTCCTGTCTGTCCTCTGCAGAAGAGAGTTTATGACTGCCTCTAGGGCTTTGTTTTTCCCCCAGTTGTTCCCCCTTCTGAAGTGCTGGCCTCCTTTTTCTTCTCTGTAAATTCTCCATTTCACTTCCTTCAAGCCCCTGCTGAAGATATACTTCCTCCAAAGGGTGTTCCCTGGCTGCCCTACCCCCATGCCTTTGTGGCACTCACAATCTAAAGCTCGGGATTCAGCATTTGTTCCTTGGGTATTGAACTTGTTCTTGTCCCAGCTGGAGTGGGAGTTTTTTTGAGGGCAGTGTGTTTTAACACTTCTTGCGGAGCCCTGCTGGTGTCTAATACCGTAGCCGGACTGTTAGAGGAGATACTCAAATACTTCCTGATTCTTGTTGGTAAACAACTTAGAAAAAATTTTTTTGATTCCCCTCCTTTTCTAGAGGGGACTCTGTTATTAGTTGTCAGCTTTCTCTGTAATATGTCACTTAATGCCTAATGCTGCCATTCAAAGTGGATGTTTTCCACTTTCATTCTTAGAGTACACAGAGCGTAAAAGGAATCTTTGAAAGATTAGAAAGTTTACTTTGATTATGGGAAAGAAAAAAGTCATGTAATTCTTCTGTTGGAGACTGTGGGGGAAGAACCTCCTCTTTGGAATCAGGCCTGGGTTTGAATCCCAGCAAGGCTTCTTATTAGCTTTGTGAACTTGGGCAATTTGTATAATATCTCTGAGCCTGTCTTCTCATCTATAGTGTGGGGATAATAAAACCATCTCACAGGATTGATCTGAGTTTTAAAATGAAAAATATATATATGAAGGAGGTAGCGGACTTTGCAACTGCTCAACACATTTTCGTCCTCATTGGGTGTCAGTTTATCAAGGTAGAGAAATGAGTCGCTGATTTCTGCATGTCTCTAGATCCTTTCAGTTGAAGCACTTGTTGAAAATGTCAGTATCCTGAATCTAGAATCTAGAATGGGAAATTAATTTTCATGTTACTGTAGTTGAAATTCTGCTTCATGTTTTTCAGATCTCTTAATTGTGTCCATTTAATGTTTTATAGCTGACTGCTGAATTTAGCTTAGTGAAGGTCATCAACTGAATGCAGTTTAATATCTAATGGTTATTTTCTGGTTGATATTGATGGCATGGAAAACCTCACGGAAGAAGGCATTTCAAGGTGAGCTTTTCTAATCCTCCTGTCCTAAGAGGTGGGACTCGTGTTTCCCAGGCCCAGTGTTCCTGGAAATGCCAGCCGTCAGCAGGTGAGAGGCCACTTCTTGACAGTTTTGAGTTTGGTTCAACACTTACTCATTCCTTTACCTGAAACGTACCTTTCTCCGTGGGGATGAATTCTTGAAGCATCTACTTGCCCACTTCATAGACAGAGGTCAGGAGAGGTTTTCGGACAGATGGACATCATGCCAAGAAATGACTGCCAACTACTCAAAGTACAACACGGTGTAAACCCTTCCTTATCATTGTGTCGATGTAATGATACATCCTTGAATGAGAATTTTCTTCCCACTCAAAGTTGATCACCAAGAGTCCGGCACCAGTAAAAAAAACTGTGCATCTCACCAGCGTGCCTGAATCCAAGTCTTATCGGAGATAAGAATTCCCATTTGGGATACTGACAAATCCAGGTTCACATCCTGGCTCCGACAGTCAGTAGTGACCGTGGGAAAGGTTCTTCGTGTCTCACCTGAGTTTGTCTCCTCACCTGCAGAATGGGGATAGTTGCACGGTCTGTGTCAGAGTGTTGTCATGAAGGTCCAGTGAATAGGTAAAGAGCTTACTTAGCATATGGTACACAGTAGGGGTATAACTGTTAGTCCTTTACGTGGCAGGTGAAGTTAAAGAGGCCATCCCTTCCCCACCAGGACAGCTCAGGAGAAGCTTCTGATGTTCTGCATTGACTGAAAGACAAACCCCACTGTCAAACCAAATCGTACTCTCAGAATTAGTGTAACTGAGCAGACTTGGAGAATGTTAACGCCTTGGTAGGAAATCTTAACAGTTTGGATAAAAATGTTCTTTCAGGCTCACATGAATTAATGCAGTAAGAACTCTAGACTTGTTTTCTTTTAAATTAGTATGAGTGCTTCATGAATATCCATCACGGAATGCCATTTTATTTATTTTTTTCGTGCATTGGGTTTCAGCAGCACCAGAATGTTTTATGCAGCCCTGGTGTTATTCGGCTGCTGCTTTCTAAAGGATTAGATTGTAATTCATGACAGCTCAAGTTTAGTTTTGATCTAGACCCAGGCAGAAATACCTAGAAAAGTTATTTTTATATAGTTGTTACTGCTGTTACCATGCCTGCTGTCCCTCGTGCTTCCATCTGTGGTCTTTTTCATGACTTTTTGTATGGAATGGAAATTAGAGATCTTAGGTCTTCAATGCCTGAGAGAGGAAGCCGAGAGTGAGTTGTGGCTCTGCTGTCCGCAAGTGACTGAATCGGGCGGATGCGGACGTGGGTTTTGGAATCGTGAGCATCTTGATTGGGAATAATGGGTACCTCCTGGTGCCTCAAACAACTCCCAGATTTTGTAACCTTGCTTTCTTTTCATAGAAGTGTCACTGGGTATTTTTAAAGGAAGCGGTGCAAATTAGAGTGTTTCTGGGCTAGATGGGAATGAGCCACCTTGCTAGATTTTGCCCGCTGGAAAGGGTGGTCTTGGGTCTTCAGCAGGAGGAATTGAGAGCTGAGGGTGTAATGATGGTGGCATCTGGGGATTTTGAGCCACCAGCTTGGTTCAGGTTGAGTCAGGTGACATGTGCTGAGAGCCCCTTTCTCTCTGCCAGACGCAGTGCTGGGCTCTGGGCGCATGGTCCCTGCCCTCAGCTCACGGCCAAGGGTGTGTGCCCAGCAGCACGTTGCCAGTTGCTTGGATTTTATGCTTGCGCTTTTGTTCCACTTGTCATTACGAGGAAACACTTCAGGGCTTTCCCCAAGAACGTTGTAGAGGGGATTGCAAGGCCCATGTGGGTGGTTGCCCAGATGGCATTTCAGTGTCCCTCTCTCATCTTCAGGCTCTCTGCAGAATGGGTTAGCAGCGCGGGAAGATATCACTAGTCTACGTCCTGGTTTTCATTGTTCAGTTTCCTTACAGTTTTAAAAGAAGGCCCGGTGCAGAACTTTATTAATGAAATGTTGTGTTGAGGAGAGGGCTAAGTGTGGGTGTTCTTGTGATGATGTTTGAGTACCTCTCTTAGGAGCAAACAGCAAAACTTTCTGCTCTCAGCTAAACTTTTTACTGTTTCCTCTCTCGTCTTACCATGTCAGCTCTTAGTACAATTTTTGGTTACTCCCAAATCAGCATCTAATGTTTCTGTACAGTTACCCACCCGCCCCTCGCCCCCTTCCTGCTACCTGTCAGACAGCTCTACACCGATGCCCAGTGGGCAGTCCGGACTCCTCTTGTTGGAGGCTGAACTTGCTTGCCTCCTAGAATGGACAGCGCCCTGCAGTCTCCCAAGTCCTGTTGAGTCCTTCTTTGGACTCAAGTTCAGGTTGGCCGCTGCCAGAATTGAGTTTCGGTTTTCTAATCTCGTGTTTAAGGCCCTCCAGTCCCCATGGTCGTTTTCCTCTTTGCCCTGTCACCCCCGGAACCTGGGCCCCAGCCACTACTCCAGACACCACATATTTCACTCCTTTATTCCCTGCTCCTGCCATGTCTTCTGTTTGAGCTGTTCTTTCTGTTCCATTTGAAAACAAAGCCCTGTTCACATATTACTAACACCAGGGAGCTTTCCTTTGTTCTATTTTGATTTTTTAAAAAATCTTTTTGGTCAAAAGTAATCAGTCTTGTCATTGCTCCTCATAGTTCTTTGTTTCTGCCTCTATAATTGTCTTGATACGCTAATTATCCGCTTGCTGCTTATCTTTCTCTAGATTCTTTGGTTTACAAAATTATATATTTTTAGGTAGAATCTTACACATGTCTTAAAAAAAACTTTTGGTGAGAATAATACGGCTATGTGATAAAAGATTCAAAGTATAAAATGAAGCCTGTTTCCTTTCTCTCTCCCCAGTCCTTAGTCCTCATTCCCAAAGTCACTGACATTAATAGTTTCATGCGATTCTTTCTAGAGTGGATACAGCAGTGTGTGTTTATTCTTTTAAGAAAAGTACATGAGGGGTGCCTGGGTGGCTCAAGTTGGTTAAGAGACTTCCTTTGGCTCAGGTCATGATCCTGGAATCCTAGGATCGAGTCCCACATCAGGCTCTCTGCTCAGCGGGGAGTCTGACTCTCCCCTTCTCCTGCTTTCTCTCTCATTCTTTCTCTCTCAAATAAATAAATAAAAATCTTAAAAAACAAAAAAAGAAAGAAAGAAAGAAAAGTACTTGAAAAGAATCCCGCATATGCATACATAATTGTTCCTTATCCTGCAGGTTTGGGCTAAGTAATGGAATTCTTTGTATATTGAAACATACTGATCTGTCTATCCTTTTTAAGGGCTGTGTAGTGTCTCATTGTTGAT